CAACTTCATGTCCACCTCTGTTTTTGGCAAATTGGACCCTTGGTAGGCTAGAAACAGTTGAAGCCTTCCAGTGGAGTCATCGGAATTGCTTCCCACTAGACAGGTGAATGAGATGCATTTTACTTTAATGCCACATCATCAAAACATCTGGTATGGAAGACCACGTTTTACAAGCATTCAGGAGCTACCCGATCATTGACGCTGCCAGCTCGTTTTGCTTTGCTTGACATTAAAAGACAATGGTAGGACCTGGCATTTGGACTATGCCAAATAAAAGAACCCCTAATGAGCAGAATCTAATGACATTGTTCGATGCAAACTGTCAAGGTAATTCCGGAGGAAATTGTTCGTGCCTGGCTTTATCCGGAACCCTCAAGCAATAACGCCATCCCTAGAGCTATTGATAGGTTACCGTGGCGCACTGCTAGAATCAGAATAATCTCTTCCCACCTGAATAATGAGCAAAGCTGGCTCCTCCTTCTTATAGAAAGCACATGCAAACTAGACAACTGATTTACAGTGTTCGACAGGGTGCTCAATTGTGAAGTATATTCCATACGGTTACGTTTGGATGCTACCAGAAGACTATTTTTAGCTAATCTTTGTGTGATGACTGAGCTCATGCATTAAAAAGCACCAAAAGTTGAAAAATTTAACTTTCTTCTTAGGGTATCCAACCCAGCATGGCTTTATGAATCCCAGGTCCCACTACGATGCATAAGTTCCTCGTTGGAAGGGAAGGATGTGCCGAGTATGTGATACCAGCATCCCCCATTCCAGCCTAACAAAAGAAGTCCCAACATGGAAAATCTTTGACTAATCAACAAAGCTTTATGTTGCAATTTGCAATCTTTATGCAGGGATTACACGATGCAATTCCACCACTCACTGCCATATCAAGTCGCACACCCCACTGGGTACTTCTAATGACTCCTATCAGGTTGACCAAACAATTTTAACTCCCAACTTTGAGAATGGCGTCCAGTCTAACTGTTTGTTTTTCTGTTAAAATCCACAACGCCTCAGTATTGAACCGGAAAGTTTTAATGCTATCTCCAAGAAATTGGACGATTTCGCCGACTATTACACAATCTTATTCTCTACCGAACACCAACCTCTTCATGACCTGAGCGTAGTAGAAAGGACCGCGTAAACTGGCAAGCATCAATCTCCAGCATATCTTCTTCCTAACCTACGCATGTATTTCCCTTCCCTTAAGCGCACTTCGTGAATTTGCACGAAAAGAATCAAGTTCTCCTCTGTCAACCTCTCCTACCATCACGTACACCTCAAAGCAATCACCAATCCTCCTCGAATGCACTCACTGAACAGGTCACAAGCCCATCTCTTTCCTCACACCACGCGTCTGCCGTCACTAGCTTTTGCCGTCGCTTCCTATAATTCACCTTCCAATAGTTGCTTCAAGTCGGGCACTTCAGTTTAATCGAATCGAAAATACTGCTGCTAGTGGGGAACTTCTATCTCTTAAGGTTGGTCAACAACCTGGCTATCCGACTCGTTTCAGTTAAACGTGTCCATTTGTATCTCAAAGGAATGTCCGAATCATTGTTTTATTTCTTTAAGAAGTGAGCACGTTACTGCTGAGTTGAGGAGCGAATAGTCGATTGTGATGGTCGCAAGTCCATTGTAAACTCGTGTGTTAAGCGGTGAAGTTGTAGACATCAGCATACAAACTGATCAAGAAAACTAGCAGCAAATGAAGTCATTGTCAGCAGTGTTAACGCAGGAAGACTTGATCCCACTTATTGCCAGTGCTGCTCCAATCGGTTTGTTCTCTGCTGTCCTTTTCTTCCAGTCCACATGCCTGGTTTGGCCAAAAGCTGCCTGAATGCACATGCAAGCAAGCATTACGCACTGTAAACATATCAAAGTAAGCACACTTAT